TTAATTTCCCTGTGACTAGTTTCGTTTACGATAAACTTCGCGCATTGTTTAAAATTGATAGAAGGCATCTTTTTTTTTATACACTGGAAGCGAAAAATAAAGTTACTGAACAATCTTTATGCCATTTTCGTGAATTGTTTTCATTTTTAGCATCGTTACTTTTGAAAATAAGCACTTTAACTTTCATTTCTAGTTTCAGAATCATATACAAATTTGTAAAAAGTCTTCCCTTTTAAAAAAAATTCGAACGATTTTTACATAGAGAAAAAAATTCTAGTAAAACCACCATACAGGATGGTAATAAAATTTCTGATAATAAAAAAGTGGGGGAAAACCTAATTTTGATTCTAAAAACCAAAATATACGGTATTTAAATTATTCATTTCATAATTTTTCCTTTCCAGCTTACACTAAATTCTGGTTTTTACAATTATAGTTATTATTTTCACATATTTAGCTAAAGATACAAAATTGAAAACTAAATTTAATCTGATAAATTGTTTTAATGCCATGCTTTAAGGTATCATGATAAAATAACCAAATTTTATCACAGCGTTATCATACATTATGAAACCATATTTTATTATTGATTTTAGTAGAATCTTTACTTAACGCATCGGTAAAAATTACTGACATTTTTGGTGCTCCCCATACAGCCGGATTTATTATTATGTGAATTTATTAACTGAATTTATTATTATGTGTATATTGCGCGTCCGAAAAAAATGAATTTCTTACCCATCCGACTCCAGGTACCCAGCTGAGTATTCCAGCATTTATACAAAAAATAGATAAGTCAAATAGTTTTCTATCGAAAGTATATTTTTCAAGATAAATTTATTAACTAGTCAGTTGTAGTAAGCTAGTTTATTATGCGCATATAAATAAAAATAAATGCATCAATTTTTGCATGTTTCAGCATGTCTAAAACTATATTTGTAAGAGCTAACTAAAGTTATTAAGGGAATTACTGTTTGAATGTAAAATGATTGAGCCTTAGAAACAGCTGCTGAAGGACTATTTATTAATGTATTCTTTTTTATCGAATGTTCTCAAACTTTCAAAACCATTAAACAATGCAGCTACTGTTTAACGTAGGAAATTTTTCTACTAAAATGACTCTTGACTTCTATAATTCAACTTACCATCATGTTGCTAAAAATGACGATAGTCTACCTACAACGTTGTTTTAATTTACATGTTTAGTTCAGAACAAATGAGTTTAAGCTCTTTTTAGGTTTTTTTTATTTTTTTTTAATTTTTTTTTTATTTTTTTTTTGAAAGTCTGAACTATTTCCAAGCGTTGAACAGAAGCTCCGGACAGTGGATTAACCGATTTGTTTAACTCCTTATTCTTGAGATTGTGAATCCAACCCAGTAGATAATTAAAAGTTTCGAAACCTTGTACTTATCTATAGTGTACCCTTTACTTATACTTTTACTAGTAGTTTTTTGAAAATAGCATTTTTTATCATTTTTTTTATTCACAACTATCACAAACGCAGACTACAAAACTAAACTGTGCTCAAATATCGTAACATCTTTCAATACATAAAACCTTTTTATACCTTTTTATACATAAAACCTTTCAATACATAAAACCTTTCAATAATTAAAACCTACTACGAATACTATAGTTAAAATTTACGAATGCATTTACAAAAAACAATCCCTGATTGCAGAACATTTAAACATGAAGTTTGCGAATACATATACTTTAATACCATATCGAATATATATATATATCGAATGTATATATATATTTATATAATATTTACATCATTTTAATTTACCTTTTTTTATCTTTCCAAATACTTTTTTGTTGAAATGTCATCACTTATTTTGATAAGAAAATGGCACCAAGCTAAACATAACGTTTTGTTATGACACAAATTTACAAATAAATTTTGAGGCCCCGAGTTCGTATACGTTATTTAAGGCCACTTGAGTATAGTTCCTATGTTAATTGTGCCTCTCCGAAAAAAAAAATACTCTTTATGATGCATGAAATAGGAAGAAAATGATTGCAGCAATCTTAGTAGCCCAAGAGAAAAGCATCTTTCGTTCTAGAGGGCAGTAGTTCAAATTACAATTTTTCTGAAAGAAATTTTTGCTTGTTGCTTTGAAATTATTCTCTTCTTTTTGCAGTATATTTTGATTGAATTTTTTCCCAACATTTTTTAAAATTTATATATTTGCATAGTATATTTTTTTATTTAATTTATTTCTTATATTTATAAACCGCTAATAGATTTAATAATAGTAACAATGGAAAATATCATCATACAAGATGTATACAAAGTAACACATGCTATTTATAAATTCTTTACTAGAATATTTGCAACAAATATCTGTTGGAAATGAAAATTGAAATTCTGAAAATAATCTGGTTGATCATATCCAAAATCCTTACAGACATATCGTCGGTGAGCTTTTATTTCTGGACACAGTTCTAAATGACTTTTTCCAAAAATGCAAATAGCTCGAAATGCGTGTTTAAGAAGATAGACGCACTTCAAAATACCTTTTTGTAAAAATGGACACAGCTTTAAAATGCGTGTTTCAGAAAATGAACATAGTTGGAAATGCGTGTTTCAGAAAATGGGCACAGCTTAAATGGAAGTATTTAAGAACATTCAGAGTTCTGAATTCGAAAATATCGCTTGAAAAATAACAACTATTATGTTCGGGATGCCGATGTGCTTAGTGCTTAAGTAAGTGAGGAAAAGTAAGCACGAAATTCCTCATTTAATTGTTAAATATGGGTTGAACATTGAAAAAGCGCGTTTTTTGGCGTCCATTTTCTTATGCACGCATTATCTGTGCCCAGTTTCTAAACACGCCTTTCGATCTACCCTTTGAAAAAGTAAGGTGTTTTTTAAGGATGACAAATGTAAAAAATTCTCCTATGGTAGAAAATGAGGTTGTGTTCCTCATTAGTAAATATCATTTACACCTCATAAAATCATACTCATACATAACTCAACAATACTTTTAGTTGAGATTGGGTGAAATTATTCATACATAAAATATACTTATTCGCTTGAAGTGTAGAAAAAATTGCCTGAACACCTCAAAAATAACCTCTCTAAGCTGGTTACCCTAAGGTAGATTTTCAACAACCTTTAGTGTGAATAAAGCAACTTTATACACCTTGAGAGGTTGATCTTTTAAGGGTTGTTTTTGAAGTTAACTTCAAATCAACCTTAGTGCCTCAAATAAACCTCAAAAACTACTTAAATTTTTGAAAGGTTATGTTTTAAACACGCCTTTTGATCTGTGTCCATTTTCGTAAACACGCATTTTGATCTGTGTTCATCTTCGTAAACACGCATTTCGATCTGTATCCATTATCGTAAACACGCATTTCGATCTGTGTCCATTTTCGTAAACACGCATTTCGATCTGTGTCTATTATCGTAAACACGCATTTTGAGCTGTGTGCAGAATAAAAACCTAACCGACGATATCAAATCATTATATCAAACCTTCCACGACTCAAGTTATTTTCCCAGAGAAAAGGGATTTTTTTTCTTCTTAAAAATCCTCTCAAAAATTTTACCCTTCCCCGATAGCAGTCATTACGCAGCAAATAACTTTTGTTCTAATGATTTGATTTTCACGAATTTGGATTTTTGACCATGAAAATACACAATATGGAACGTATTGTTCCAATAGTTTAGTCAGAAGCATGGTCAAAATTTATTAATAAGTTAATAATTATTGGTTAATTTTACTTATTACGCATTTCGCTACGTCTCGAGAAGTTTTTAAGTGAATCGAAAAATTTTTGTGCACGATTATAATGTTTGTGAATCCAAAGAAAATTCCTTATAAAAATAAATTCTTAACATCGAATTGTTATTATTTTTTTATAATTTTATCATTATTTTGTATTATTTTTTTTATTTAATAGTGGTTGAGACATTGAGTTGTATTGTACATAATTTTTTACTTCACTTTAAATTATATAATTTTAAAATATTTTTTATTGATTATTTTTCTTTTCTTTTTTTTATTCTTTGAATATTTCTAATAAAAACGTAAACAAAATAACGAAAAATTATTTTCTTGTATCTGCTGTCTTCGAATGGCACTGCTTCAATTTTCTCTTAGATTAGATGTATTCATTTTATTTGCACATCTAGGGATTGTAGTAGTTTTATCCGGGATCTTTTAAATTTTGAATTTATTTTTTTAGAAAAATCTTTGAGTAAATTTCCTTGAATTACATATCTTTACAATACATTTAAAGTTCCCCGAATTAATTAAGAGAATCGGCGGACAGTAAAAAGCTACTAAAATAAATTTTGGCTGAATTGGGATTCGTACCTAATACCGATTGAGTGAAAATACAGACGTTTTCCTATTGCATCACGACCTTTTTGTTATACAGCATTTATTGGAATAATTTAGGTTAGCCTCAAAATAAATAATGAATTAAATAAAATAAATAACGAATTCAAAATAATAATTAAGATTATCTATTTTAATGATAAGAAAGACATTAACAAAGTATTTCAATTTTTTGAAAAATATCGATTTTTTTTTTAATTTACTCTTTAAAAAAATTTTTAAACATTTAAATTTTTTTTGTTAAACAATATAGTTCATGGAAAGTATAATTCATTTAAAATTTATAGCTTTTTTTTAAATTTTCTTTCATAAAATATAAAATTAATATGAAAATAACTTTCTTCAACATACGTAATATCTTGCGATATGTTCACATATAATTTAATATTATTAAATGTAATATCGTTTGGTGAGATTTCCATCAAAATTTAGCCGCACCAAAAAAACTGCTATATATACCCTTTTTTAATAGATTGATTCATTTTCATTTCTTTAATAAAGTTATCAACCTCTTGAATCCCTAACTATATTTACCGGAAGCACGCAAACATCGATTGATGTTGATAAACATCATTGCAGAAAACAATTTGCATGCATATTGATCACCGTCCGTTTCAAATAAATAAACAAAATGTTCGATTTACCATTCGTCGGTAGCAGAAGGGGTCGGCACAGGTAAAAGTCCATTTCGTCAGTCGCTGAAGGCAGTCGTCACTTTGTGGCAAATGCTTAATTTACCTTCCAAATTCGTGTTTATTTCGAATACGAAACCAGGGAAATGCACGGGAAGTGCGCTTTGTTTACATTATACCTGCCCACTCATAAGCCACATTTGGCATCGGCTACGTAATTCATTGAGGTGACGGATTAAAGCCTCTCTTTAACCGCACGCCATCTTAAAACATTCCATCTCGCATCAATCTTTCGAATGTCAGATCTACATTAGTTTTGAATCGTACACGAGCCATCAGGTGGGATGGATTTGAAATCCCTCTTGAAATGGCATTTAATTTGGCAGGAGTATTAATTTTCGAGTGATTTTCCCACTCGCTGCGTTGAACTTGATGCACAGTAAACAAACGATTCGAGGTGGTGGTTTTGAAATTTGGAATTTATCTGAATTTTTGAAATCATTCTTCTATGTTTTGAGCATTGAGTCGTTTTGGTGATGAATAGTTCGTTCATTGTTCGATGACATCTTTGTGGAATTGCTTTGCATGGTTGATTGTATTTTCAAGTGATTTGCTGTAAGAAAACTGGTGTAATATCTTTATTGTATATGAATTGGTGTAATTGTATATGAACATGAGGAAATGGGGTTATTGTATATGAATATGATGCTGAACAACCTTAAAACATTTTTGAAAGAACACTTCATTCCGGATTAACGCCAAATCGAGCGTTCATATACAATTTAAAGGGTGTAATTTAAATCTGAATACTTAAATGTGAATGCACCAAAATCTCATAACCCCCATACGAGAAGTATTTTCACTTCCGGAAATGCAAATGTTGGCGCTTTTTCAATTTCAAAAATTCATGAAACGCGGAGTAGAATATCGCGAGTAGTTTGTTTACTAACTGGAATGAGCTGACGAAGGTTCGTTTTTGCTTTCAACGCTTTCATCAGAGGGAAACGAAAATGCGCCATTAAATAAGCATGCATGTTTTTAGTTGTGTAGTTAGTAAGGGTAGTTTTATTTTTAGTGAAAATTATTAGTATTTAGTAAGGGTAGTTATATTTAAGCTCTTAAATCTTTGAGAACTATAATAACTGATATAAAATAATATTTAATTTCTATCAGCTTCCGTTTTGTTAAGCCTAATTCGAATTCGTTTTCTTCTGCTACGCGTATGTTTGATTAACAAACCAATTTCATTATAAAAATTAGTGTATGAATGCATTCTAAATTAATGATTCTTACTTTAAGTTGTATTGTAAAAATAACTTTACCTAACTCTTTTGTGTATCTAATCTCACTCAGTTTCAAATTTTAGTATTATTGAGGAACAAAAATGGTGACGGCTACTTTACACCAAGTAGTGTAAAAGAACATTGGTGTAGTGAAATACTAGATCCATGAGTTAGGTATGGCGTTTTACTACTCTACTTTAGTGTAAAGTAGTTGCAACTTTACACCAAATAGTGTAAAAAAAACATTGGGGCAGTGAAACGCTAAATCCAAGATTTAGGTATGACGTTTTACCACACCAGTTTTCCACCATTTCGGTTGAAAAGTAATAGTTCGATAGTTGCCACCATTTTCGGTGTTGAGATACATTAAAATTTTTTGCAATTTATTTGATTTTTATCACTTATATTGATCGTAGTAGTGGAACTAATTTATTACCTGTTGCTTTAAACTCGATGACCAAATACAAACGATCTGAGGTAATAGTTTAACGATTTGGAATTTATCTGAGTTTTTTTAAATCACTCTTTCATGTTTAGAAGAGTTTTGAAGTTATAGTTCAAAAGATTTGGAATTTATTTGAATTTTTTTTTAAATCACTCTTTCATGTTCAGAAGATTGGGTTGTTTTAGTTATAAATAATTCTTACATATTTCGTTGGCATCTATGTTGATATATAGAAAGTTGGTTTCAATTCTTTTGCATGATCAAATGTATTTTCAAGTTTCCTTTGCTTGATGTGCAGAAACAAACAATTTTGAGTAGTATCTACTAGATTTGGATTTAATCTAAGTTTTTGAAATTATTCTGTTTTGCATAGAAAATAGAACTGTGTGACTATAATAATCGTTATTTCATTAATTAATTAGATTTCTGTAGTAATATGGAAAATTTATTTTAATTCATACGGGTGGTACTTGTTTGTTAAAGAAAGAGGCGAAGGAGAGAAAAGATTTTGGGATAAGTGTTCGTCTACACTGGTTTTATTCCTAACCCGGCTAGCATTAATAAATATTACTTAGCATTCTCTTTGAAAAACACGTTTGAGTCAGAGCTTGAGTGCAATTCAAAACCAACTGTTAATTTAAAGTAGATACTGGTTACTTTTGTTGCTCTGATATTTTCTTTGAACTAATGAAATTATTGTAATCATAGATAAACACTAAATTACTAAAATTTTTGGCGACCCTTCCTGCAGGTCTCGCCATGCCAATAGGGGTCACGACCCAGAGTTTGAGAAACTCTTATATTTATAAGTTACTCTTGTAACGGTAAATATGTGACAAAGTTTTCAAAAATAATTTTGGCATACCTATTCTTTTCATTATCCTTTCGAAATCCGCATGTCTCTTAAAATCAAAACATTAATCAATAGCTGAAAAAAAAATTTTATTAAGTAATCAAACCAAAAATGAAAGTAAAGTTTTTTTTCTCCAAAAAATAAAGCATTTTTATTTTCTAATTAAATAAAAACAGCTAATTTTTTTTCAGATCGAACCCGTAAATCATACTTTAAATTAGTTTTAATATTACATCTCTGAATATCTGTAATTTAATTTTTTAAATGCATCTCTGTATAGCTGAAAATTAATTTTAATGTACATCTCTGTTTACCCGCAAATTGATTGAATGTGCATCTCTGTACATCTATAAATTAATTTATATACCTAAATTAACTTATATTAACTTATGAGTCTCCATACATCTGCAAATAAGTTTTAATATTCATCTCTGTGTATATGCAAATTAATTTTAATATGCATCTCTGTATACCTGCAAATGAATTTTAATATGCCTCTCTGTATACCTGCAAATGAATTTTAATATGCATCTTTGTATATCTGCAAATCAATTTCAATGTGCATCGCCGTATATCTGTAAATTAGTTGTAGTGTGTATCTCAGTATACATGAAAATTAGTTTTAATATGCGTCTCTGTACAATTGAAACAATTATTTCACTATACGTACCTGAATGCACAATACATAAACGCACATACAATAAACGCATACAGAGAAAACTTTAATTCTTTAATAAAATATTGATATAGTCAACAATTGTGTCAGTTTTTTTCTCATTTGACAACTTTCATCTTTTGACACCTCTCACTACCAAACTTTGAGTTAAGAAGATAATATCAATTCAAATTTAATACAGGCAAACCCTTTATGAATGTTCACTAACGAAAAAATTAATTTATGAACTTATGTCACACGTGTTGAAAGTTCTTGTAAACATTCACTAGAGTTGGATGGGAGGAATCATAAAAATGAATGTTTATTTAATTTGTCATGTTTATACAAATTAAATGATAAATCTCGTATGATAAATTTTTGAAGCAACTTAGTATACGTCATAAATCAGCCAAGCAATTGAAAATGACAATCAATTGAAATGAAGTTATGCCGGTTTATTTTATGCTATGTCCCAAAATTATTAAATTTGTTATTTTTTCGAGAGGGATTATATTTATTGTGGTACGTTTTTAAAGTTGACTGGGTGAAAAAATATTTATTAATAAAAAGTTTTGAATTTTTAATGTGTGTGTCTATTACACGCAATTTTTAAGACATTATTTACAATTAGCAGTATGTTAACAATAAAAAGCAAAAACCTTTTTCGTTAAAATCATAATTTTTTATTATTATTAGTCTTCGTAAACCCTAAAGNTGTGTCTATTACACGCAATTTTTAAAACATTATTTACAATTAGCAGTATGTTAACAATAAAAAGCAAAAACCTTTTTCGTTAAAATCATAATTTTTTTTTTATTATTAGTCTTCGTAAACCCTAAAGAATCATTATTTCATTATACTCATCATGTATATTATATAAAGCGATATTAGTGTATATTATCATCAAACCAATGAAATTTTGGAACTGAAAACTGAGATATCAATCAAGGGAGCAGTCATAAGCATGAAAAGGGAACAATATCTAATATGTCTATAAATTTTACTATTCTAGTTAATAGTAGTTCACGGTAATAGTAATTTACTTTACAAACTATTTCTAGTTATACTTTTATAATGCATTGGAGTGTTTTCTTTTTCTTTTTAGGGTGAGATTCTTTATTTCGTCCTTTAATTTATTCCTTGTTGCATCTTCAAAATCCCAAATTTGTAACTAAAAATTACTCCTAAAATTACAAAAAAGTATGCCTTTTTTTCAGAATCGCACCCAAAGTTTAACTAATAATACATAGTTAAACTTTGGGTGCAAAGCAATTTTTGAAATGTAAAGCAAATAGATATATTTAAAATGCTATAAAAATATATAGCTATTTTCTCTACTATAAATTTTAAACAGTTGGGCATGATAGGTGAACATGCGTTTCAATCAGCTGCAGTAGACGCCATGAAATAACTACTGCCTAGTTTTGTTTACAAAACTTTGGTACAATTTTCATTTGTCCATCGAAATGTGATGAGCGTAAATTAATCTTATAGTTGCACTTAAATTCGATCCAGAATCATAAACTAAATGAAATTCTATACTTCGTTCAGTCTATTTCTTTTTATGACATCACTAGCATCGGAACTTGATCCGTTTTATGTGAAATGCAATTTCACACTCCAACAATTTACTACTCTTAAAATAATTTTCGTTAAATTTTAAATCCATAACGAATCAACGCTTCTGTATTTATGGCATCAAAAGATGATTTAACGAAGCAGGCGTATGCCAAACTGCTTTTCAATAAATAACATCGTCTGCTTTTGCCGATAAAAGAGCTCGTTAGCATACTCGATTGCTTAGTTATATGACCTATCTGCTGGCAACACAGAGTACGGATTCGCTTCTTCACTTCGCTTCACTGTTGGGGAATATATTAAATCCA